TTGAGACAGTGTCTTGCTCAATAGCCCAGGCTGGAGTGCAATGGCATAATCTTGGCTCACTGCAACCTCTGCCTCCCGGGTTCAAGTGATTCTCCTGCCTCAGCCTCCCAAGTAGCTGACTATGTGCCACCACACCGGGCTAAATTTTGTATTTTCAGTAGATATGGTTTTCACCATGTTGGCCAGGCTGTTCTCAAACTCCTGATCTCAAGTGATCCACCCACCTCGGCCTTCCAAAGTGCTGGGATTATAGACGTGAGCCACTGCACTTGGCCAGAAAATGTCTATTTTCAATGATTTATACTTTAATTTTACTTAAAGTCATTTAACCATCTCCAATATCTGAGACCTATGTAGAACCCCCAAATTTTTCCCTGGGTTAGAAGAATTTCAGGTATTAATAGAGAAGATTGGCATGGCCCCTGTGCAAGGATGACACACAAATTTGTGAGGCATTCCATATTTTATAAAATAATTTTAAAAAGAAAAAAAAGAATTTCAGCTATCTGAGAGTAGGAGGTGCTTTCTTGGGGCATCTAAAATTATAAGTAGGCCAGACGCAGTGGCTAACGCCTATAATCCTAGCACTTTGGGAGGCCGAGGCGGGCGATCACCTGAGGTCAGGACTTCCAGACCAGCCTTGCCAACATGGTGAAACACCATCAGTCTCTACTAAAAATACAAAAGTAAGCTGGGCTTGGTGGCAGGAACCTGTAGCTCCAGCTACTCAGGAGGCTGAGGCAAGGGAATAGTTTGAATCCAGGAGGTGGAGGTTGCGGTGAGCTGAGGTCACACCACTGCATTCCAGCCTGGGCATCAAAACAAGACTCCATCTCAAAAAAATAAAATAAAATAAAATAAAATAAAATAAAATAAAATAAAATAAAATGATAAGTAAGGGTCTAATTTTGCACTTCAGTACAAGAGGATAAAGAACCCAGAGTGCTCAAGTCTATACTTATTTTTCATAGTCTTGATTGTTACCTTTTTCTTAGTCAATTTCCATTGACTCAGTGCCTAACCAAAAGGGTTTAGATAAGCAGGGCATTATAGGTGAAAGACAAGTGTACAAAGCTTCATTTAGTGCTAACTAGCTCTGAGAAGTCTTTTTACCCTTTTGGACCCAGCTTCCTTTTTCAGACAATACATCTTTGGATGATCGAAAACAACAACAAAACCTGATAAAGCTCCTTGTAGTTCTAAGAGCCCAAGAGTCTTGAATACAAAGTCTCTATTATGTTCTTCTCTGGATAAAAGAAACTGTAGACTTTATAACATAATCCAGAAAAAAAAAAAAAAAAAAAAAAAAAAAAAAAAAAAAAAAAAAAAAAAAAAAAAAAAAAAAAAACCAAAAGCTACCTTTAGGAAAAAAAAGGGCCTATAGCAAGAAGCTGAAATAAAGAAAGCCTTCTGAGAACACAGAGAACATTTAGCAAAAGGTGGAAAATCTGACTGTACAGTCACAGTCTTCCTCTCCATAACAATAATTTTTCCTCCTCTCACTAAAATAGAGCAATTTTTATTGTCACAAGCACATGTGTATTACTGGCAATAAGGATATAACTGTATAGGACACCTCCTTAAACATCTTCTTTATTTTAAGTTAGGCGGAAATGACTAGGCATTCCCAGGACTTTCTGGGTTGCCATCGTAAGGCCGGTTGCCTCGCCGGCAGGTCGGACACACCCACCCCTGCACTCAGCACCTGACTCTGCACCTGGCACCGGGCTCTGCACTCGGCACCTAGCTCTGCTGCATGGCTCCCTTGGAAGCCTCCGGCTAATGCATCCCTGGCCGGCTCTCGCACTGGAAAACCCGCCCAACAACCTGCCAACCAATAGCGGCCCGCCCCGTCTCAATCCTGCTCCCCTGGACCCAATCAGAGCACCGAGCTGTTGCTCGTTCCTCCTAGCCATAACCACCCCACCCCACCCCACCCCAGGAAGTCAGCGGGACTTCTCTGGCCCCCTTTCCCCAGACCAGAGAACCTTGCCAGGGAGCTGAACAAATTGGCATCTAATTTTCTATACTGGCCTCAGCTTCCTCATTTTAAACTTGGCAATGACCCTTACAGCCATGGATACCTGTCATCCACATCCAGAGCCTGCAGGTTACACTCAGGGACTCTTGCCAGCTCGTTAATAATATCGCTGAAGCCCGCTGCCGCTGCAATATGGACACACGTCTTCCCACGCTCATCGTCATAGTTGATTATAGATGGCCCCTGGTGATGGCTCAGGATGATGGTGCACAGAATCCTATTTCCACTCTGGAAAAGAGAGTCAAGAAAGCCCATCATGTACAATCCAGTGTTTTTCTCTGTCTAGGCATGTTAAGATAAAAATACAAATTTAAAAAGGAAAAAAAAAAGGTGAAAAGAGAAAAGGAAAAGGAAAAAAAAGAATAAAAATACATTGTATCTAAACTCTCCAACAAATTTTCTCTTGTCTCAAGTCACTGCAGAGATTTTTGTCTCCCATAGGAGCTAAATTGTCTTCCATAATTAGTGAATGAAGGATGGACTGAAATTAAATACAGGTGCCATGCACTGACATGCAAACTAGAGTGATGGATGGGCCACCTAGACAACAACTTGCTCATCAGGTCTGACCATTTGTTTCCCCATTTGCTGTAGAGGCTGGCCACTGAGAAAATGACAGAGTTAATCTTAATGATAAAGCAGTGACTATGATGAGTGCTGGCTGGTGGTGCAGTGATGCAGGAAAAAAGCCCGTTTCTGGGTAGGGCCAATGAGCAGGGGGTTGAGAATTTGTCCCAGGGAGCCTGGGAGCAGAACTGTGTAAGCAGAGGCTACACTCCAGTATCAGACTTCCTTTACAAAAACAATTAAAAGATAAAGTGAGAATTTCCAAATGGGGACCACAGAACATTATGCCTTAAGCACAGAGTCGCATCTGAGTACCAGGCCCTCTATGGCTGCACTGGTTACATACCCATAAAGTGGTCTCTGCCTACAAACTTTTTCTTTCTCTTCCTTTCCTCTTCCGTTTTGTGTCTTCTTCCTCCCTCCATCTTTCCTTTGTCTAACAATGATTTTAAATAACTTTGACCAATTGTTTTAAGTTCTGTGGCATGCCTGTTTTTAGAAGTCTGCTAAAGGTTAGGTGAACACACCTAAGCTTTCATCTTAGATAGTCAAGAGACACTTTTCTTTAAAAGCAATAGCCATTCAATAAGGAAAACAGAAGCAAAAAGAGTGTCAGCACAACAATTTTTTTTTTTAGACAGAGTCTTGCTCTGCTGCCCAGGCTGGAGTGTAGTGGCACAATCTCGGCTCACTGCAACCTCTGCCTCCCAGGTTCAAGCGATTCCTCTGCCTCAGACTCTCAAGTAGCTGGGATAACAGGCACGTGTCACCATACCTGGCTAATTTTTTGTATCTTTAGTAGAGATGGGGTTTCACCGTGTTGACCAGGATGGTCTTGAACTCCTGACCTCGTGATCCATCCATCTTGGCCTCTCAAAGTGCTGGGATTACAGGTGTGAACCGCCATGCCCGACAATTTTTTTGTTGTTTTGTTTACAATTTCCAGGAAAAGTAAAGGAATTCAAGTTGTCAAGGTGGTTCAAAGGGCAAAACACCCTGTTCACAGCTTCCCCTCTTGGTGAAAGAAGCACTAAGTGCAAATGGAGAAAACTAAACCCCACCCTCATACTCTCTTCCTTTCACCTCACTTGCCCCTGGGGTGGAGTCATTTTGGAAGTGGCAAACTGAAATAGAGGCTGCTGCTTCTGGGATCCTGCCAGCCAGTCCCAGGCAGCAGGCCTCTTGGCAGCTGGGGTACTGTTGACAGCATTTCTGGATAGTAAAGACAGACTCCACACCTTTACTCTTTTCCTCCAAGATTTCTTTTGTCCTAAATTCTCCAGACAATTCCTTTGCCTGTATACCTGAATCTCACAGCACCATTGTTTGAATTTTTTTTTTCTTTTTTTTGACACACCCGCAAACCCTTTACTTTTCTTGATAAGAAGATCCTCCCAGGAATAATGGTGACAGCTGTATTTACTGTGTGAACCTCTGTGCCTGGCACCTTTCTAAGCCATTTCATGTACTAGCTCATGAACAACAATCCCACTAGGCTGGTACTCTCATTGTCCTCCTACTGTGGAGGAGAAAATGAAGGCATCAGAGATTAAGTAATTTGTCCTCTGTTACAGCTAAGAATGAGCAGATCCAGGATTGACCGTGGAGGCATTGGACTTACCACTACACCATTCTGTCTGTGATCAAAGGAGTGGTCTATTAATTTGATCCTGCATGTTCATACTGGAGGAAGTAAAGTGAAAACTGTTTAGACCTACATCAGTAGTAGTGATGTGTGCCTCGCCAACTGAGAACTCCTTTAGAGTTAATCTTTGGGTACTTGAAAAGTTTCTTCTAGGAAGGTTGCCATGGTACACTCTCAGGATAATTTGAGGGAGCCCTAGAAAACACTAATTTGTAAGCCAAGGCCCTGGGTCATTTGTCTCCTGGTGACAGAATTCCCTTCTTAGTAATCCAGACTGTGTGTCAGCCAAAAATAGGCTTAGACCTGGGAGGCAGAGAAAGTGACAGAGACCAGGAGACACTAGACAAGAAGAAATGGGACTGCAGTCCAGGTGGGTCCTTAGGAAGAATGGAGAGTAGGTTTACATTGGGTAGGAATGTTATTAAATAAGGCAAGGAACAATATTGTACACATCCTATTTGTATGGAGCTCTAGAATTCTACACTGATCAGCCAGATGATGATTGTGAGTTTGCTTTTGTTGTATTTATTTATTTGTTTTTGTTCATGGGTAATCCGTAACATTGCCTTCATGTATTCTGAAAATGACTGGGAACTGAGTCTTAGTCGTTTTCTCTTTACCCATCATGAATGGGGAGAGTTGGGGAAGGCTGACTCATAAGAAGCCTTGCCAAGAAGAAAGCTGAATTAATGTGTAATAATTTTGCTACAGGCAGATTGACAAAACAACAAATCTCAATATCCTAACTGTAGACCCTTGTTATTCTAGCTGACCTTCAAAGGAGTCTAGTGGCAGATTTAAGATCAGTTGGTTGTTTGCTAATGTATATCTGGGGAATATGTTCTATGATGGCTTCTTCTTGGTGGGAACTCCAATCCCCTTCCTTCTCTTGAACACTGGGATGTGTATGCATTGCTTGTCTTGTGGTGGTGGCCATAGAAAGCAGAGGCCAGTGCTTTAGCCTCTGTGTTGCAGTCATTCATCTCTCCTAAAAGGCTGAGAGGTTTTGTGATGTGAGAAGATGATCCTGGCTCATCGGTTGGAGCCAGACATGTTAGACTAGAATGGAGATAAAAGGAAGATCTAGAGTCTATGCTGTGTGACGTTTGAGGGTTGAGGGTCTGGGGCTAACTAGAGAAAGAAATGTGCCCAATATCCCTGGGTTAGAATCTGGACTGCCTTCGTGGTTAGCCCCTTTGGACCAAACTTTTGGTTGGGCTGGACTACAGAGGCTGCCAAATCCCAAAGCCTGGGGCTGCCTCTCCTGGAGAGAAAGCAGAAGATAGAAACAATGGGAGGGGATGAGGCATGGTGACCCTCAGCTGCTGAACTACTTCATTTTTTTTTTTTTTTTTGAGACAAAGTCTTACTCAGTCGCCCAGGCTGAAGTACAGTGGCATGATCTTGGCTCACGGCAAGCTCTACTTCCTAGGTTCAAGTGATTCTCCTTTCTCAGCCTCCTAAGTAGCTGGGATTATAGGTGTATACCACCACATCTGGCTAATTTTTTGTATTTTTAGTAAAGATGGGGTTTCACCATGTTGGCCAGGCTGGTCTCAAACTCCTGACCTCTAGTGATCCACCCGCTTCGGCCACCCAAACAGGTCAGAGTCTTTGCTCCCAGGGTAATGGGGGCTAATTTCCTAAATTCGACTTTCTCATTGTTTACTCTGGACTTAGGCAGCTTGGTGGTTGTCCTCTTTCAAATACTGGAAGCTATGTGGCCGGGTCCCTGCCTGGGTGCTGGATGTACTTGGGCAAATGCTAAACTCCTTTTGTAATAGTTTCCCATCTAGAAACTGGAGGATTGGACTAAATGGTCTGCGGTCCCTTTCACCTCTCAGGCTCTTTCACCGTATGAGGTGAATCCGCTGGTATACAGCATTTATAATTACACATTGGCATTTTGACTATATTGAGAGTTGAAATATATTTATAGGACTTTGACACAGTTCAAACAGTTGGCCACAGATTAACTGTGAGTATGTGTGAGTGTGTACGTGTAATTCCTTACCCATATAACCACATATTGAACAAACATGAAGTAATCATTTTATATTAATGCAGTTATTTTCTTTCTAACCATCCTTGAAAAGTATGCTGCTGAGGAAAATCCCAAGTAAACACATGTTCTAGTAAGTTGGGGAGGGAATCAGGGGTGAAATTTGAGGGATGATAGACGCTTGCCCCTCTTACTGACCTGCCGTGATGCCTAGAATTCTTATTGTTAGAAACACTCCAAGTATTAAGGCATTGTACTCCTATAAGCCTTTGTTAAGCTGCCAATGTTATTCCAGAACTTTTCTTAGATCCATAAGAGAAGTTAGGTCACGGGGCAAACTGCTGCCTCCAAATTGGAGAGACAGGCAGACAGGCAGATATAGGGACTCACAACATACTAGAGCAAAAACCTCTGAGGGAATCTTTAGCTATATATTAATTCTAGACAGAGCAGACTTCAAAGCAAAGAAGGTTGTAGGGAAAAAGAAGGGTATTGCATAATGATAAAGAGGTCAGTTCTCCAAGAAGACATAACAATCCTTATGCACCCAACAACACAGCCTCAAAATATGTGAGGCAAAACCTGATAAACTGCAAGAAGAAACAGATGAGTCTGCTATTATAGTTGAAGACTTCAACGTCCTTCTATCAGAAATGAACAGATCCAGAAAGCAGAAAATCAGTAGAGATATATTTGAACTTAAAAATACAATTAATTTATTGGATACTATTGACATCTACTGACTACTTCATCTAACAGCAAACTACACATTTTAAATGAGCTCACATGGGACCTTCACCAAGATAGATCACAGTCTAGGCCATAAAACAAATTTGTACAAAACTGAAAGAATAGAAATCACACAATTATGCTCTCAGACCACAGTAGAGTTAAACTATAACTATAATCAAAAATAGAAAGATAACTGGAAAATTTCTGAATATGTGGAGATTAAACAACATACTTCCAAATTACACATGGTTCAAAATAAGAAATCTCAAGCTAAATTAAAAT